GGGAGGGGGAAGAAGGAGGAGGGGGAAGGGAGGGGGAAGAAGGAGGAGGAAAGGACGAGAAAGGAGGAGGGAAGGAGAAGGAAAGGCGGGGGAAGGAGGAGGAAAGGAAGGGGAAGAAGAAGGAAGAGGACGGGAGGGGAAAGAAGAAGGAGGAGGAGAAAAAAGACAAAAAGGAAAGCACGGTTCGTATTCAGCAAATAACAACAGAATCTCAGAAGAGCCATTAGTATAGAAAAACAGTTGATCGCTTTCTTCTTACTCTTCGCCTGTCTCCAAGCATGATCAGAAGTGTGGAGAGTGAGTTGACGCTTTCGCCACATGGCCAGAAGAGTTACACCCAGTTTGGTACAGATTCGTGCACACTTTTCAAACTCCTGTTTTAAAACCAGTTACAGAAAAGCCAGTGTCTCATACACTCCCTCTGCTGAGCACTGGTTAATGTGGATGTGGAGGAACTGCTGGATCTAATGCATTTCTTATCCTTTTTGGGTTTTAATGACAGATGATCTAAAGTACCTGACTATGCTCCGTTGCTGATGGTGTTTGTTCAGCGAGGGGTATGTCCAGGTGCCAGATCAGCTATTCTGTTCACACCTCTGCTGTGATAAGGCATGCTATTTGTAATTTGTAAGGATTTGTAATTATAATACCCATTTCCTATGGAAGCAAGGATTGCACAGCTGTGCTAGCTACACACTGTGTAAATTGTGTAATTTGCTCCCGTTCCCCACCCGCAGCCATTTTCAGATTCATTAGCTCGCCTCAGCTGAAGTTGATAACAAAGCAGATATCCCACAGATAAGAGGCATCATGCAAGAAAACCAAGAAAACTGTGGAAAGGGTCAAAAAGCACTGGGGAAGAGCTCGTGCTGTTGTAGACACTAGAGAATCCACGTGGGGGTCAGTCGGCCCTGAGGAAAGAGCTGACTCCAAATGGCTCAGAGACCAGGCGTGGTCAGCTCACTTGCAGGCATCTCTGGTTTGGATGTGTGCGACCGTTGGATGATGTTCCCGTTGGGTTTGGCATTGCCGAGAGACCTGGGTGCATCGGGACAGGAGGGAGCAGTCCTAGGTGCCACCACGCAGCAGATGGTGATGGAGGATCTGGTGCAAAGAGGAGGTGGGCTGTTGGGATTCGGGCTGTGAGCAGGACCCCGGGAGTCTTGGCTGCCTCCTGCTCCGTGACCCACAGCAAGGACTGCACCATCCACAGGAGAAAAGCTGCTCTTGACCCAGCTGGGATGCTCCAGGTGGGTTTTAGGTGCTGGCGAAGAGCTGCCAAATGTGGTGTCACCACCTACTGCATAGTGAAATATTGAAATAAAGGCTGACTTAGCTGCCCAAGCTTTTTTCTTCTGTCTTCTGCAGAAGCAGAAGCAAATAAGCCTTTCAGTTGTCTTGGCAAATACAGCGATAGTCACACATCGTTACTCAGGAGAAGCAGTTGGCGTCAAAGTTGTACGATATTGTCCCTGCCTGTCAAATGCCAGGGGCTGGTGAGACATCAGGGCGAGAAAATCCTCCAACAGCACACATTGCACTGGGTGAGGGAATTCCAAAATGTGTGAGAAAAGAAGCTGTAGTGGGAATTGACACAGCTGTAGCTCACCTAATGGGATGCCTGCCGTGGTGAAGGGTCACGTAAATCAGCGTCTTCCACCTTATTTAATGAATATTAAGGATTCTGCTCTGGAGACAGGCTGAGAGAGTTGGGGCTGTTCAGCCTGGAGAAGAGAAGGCTCCGGGGTGATCTTATTGCAGCCTCCCAGTACCTAAAGGGGCTACAGGAAAGCTGGAGAGGGAATTTTTACAAGGGCGTCTAGTGACAGGACAAGGGGCAATGGCTTTAAACTGAAAGAGGGGAGATTTAGATTGGATATAAGGAAGAAATTTTTCACTCAGAGGGTGGTGAGGCACTGGCACAGGTTGCCCAGAGAAGTTGTGGCTGCCCCATCCCTGGAAGTGTTCAAGGCCAGGCTGGATGGGGCTTTGGGCAACCTGGTGTAGTGGAGGGTGTCCCTGCCCATGGCAGGGGGGTTGGAACTGGATGATCTTTGAGGTCCCTTCCAACCCAAACCATTCTGTCATTCTATGAGTTAAACATTGTGGGGTTAGTGGCGATTCCTTGGATTGAGAAGGAAGAGGGGTGGAGAAGAAACAAATGTATTTGGCTTCTTTAACAGGTTGCTTTTGTTAAAAATAGTGTCAACAAATGAAAATATCTCCTGTGTCACCCTGCGGTGTTGTGAAATAGCAACAGGCTGCTGATGACAGCAAAAATCTTTTCTGAACCACACATGGCCGGACGGGCAGCAAAATCTGGATCCTGGCATAAACTGATCATTCAGCTGTGATCATCGGTAATTGAGTCACCTTAGAGGTGTCTCAGAAAGGATGAGGCATTGCAAGAAAGTTTAGATAAACTGGTTAATGGCTTGGTATTTTCCAGAGGCAAGAGCTGGAGTCGGAGAACAAGAAGCTGAAAAATGACCTCAATGAGCTGAGGAAGGCTCTCGCAGACCTAGCGACCCAAAACAACTCTTCCAACGATACTCAGGACAGTTACAACCTCCTACTGAATCAGCTGAAATCGGCCGACGAGGAGTTGGAAGTGCGGAAGGAAGAGGTTCTCATCCTGAGGACGCAGATTATGAACGCAGCCCAGCAAAAAGACACAAGGAAAAACGTGGTAATTGGGAGGGTAACGGATTTTCTTTTCCTTTTTCCATTCTATCGCAGAAAGTTCGGTGCCTGCCTGAGCAATACTGTTGCTGCTTTGGTAGGCTTTGGGTGTCAAGATGGCTCGGGGAGGTTATAGGAGGTTCTGCATGGTCGTAGGAGGTTCAGCCTGTGGACAAGATGCATAGTCCATGACATCATGTCACACGGAGCAGGACTGTATGCCCAGTGGTGGTCTGAACTGCTGACCTGATGAGGTCTAGCCAGCCCACACAGAGGAACAACTTCTCCAGCCCTACACGGAGGTGTGGTGGTCTGAGATGTTCCCAGTGATGTTTCGTGACAGATGGCTTATTCTGCAAGTGAATAGGATGGGGAAGAGAGCTTCTGGACAAGATTCTGCTCACTTGGTGCTGGTGCAGCTGTAATGTGTTTCTGCTGGTGTGTAGGCAAGAAAAGAGCCTGTCCCATGACAGTTGAGGGCTTTTTTCTTTGGATGCTATTCTGACTGAAGAGTGTGTTTCCTGAAAACTCTCGCTTGGGCTTTTTAATTCAGTGCCGTATCATTCCTTGAGATTTTGGTATGTTTTGTGTTTCAGACCACACATTCCCCTTATCTCTCAGGTTCACTGCTTCCTGCTTCCATCTCTCATCTCTGCTGCTGTCTGTTTGCATGCGTGTGAATTCGTAGAAACTCTCCAGTCCAATGGATGCCCTGAGGAAGCTCTGTTAAGGATGGTTGGGAGTTGTTTGGTATCAGGAACTTTAAAAGACAGAAAGATATGTGCAGATGTGCAGGATGTCATGCTGCTGTGTTTTGCATCTCGAATTTAGGAGACCAACACCCCCAATGCCAGCTGGCCGAACAGTGACAAGCACATTGATCAGGAGAGCACGGTGGAAGCCTACCAGGAGCTGTGCGAGACGAACCGGTAAGTGTGGCCAAAATTTTCCCAGCTGCAGAAGGGAGCTGGCCAAAGCGTGAGAGATGAGATCCAGACCAAAGCTGACAAAACATTTTAGAGAGTTATCAGCTTCTGCATTGTGTTCTGGACCTTGGGTCAAGGACAGACCTGAAAAATGGGACCAAAGATGCAGGTTTTGTAACGAGCGAGGAGCCCCTCCTCATTGGGGCAGTGTGTCCCCAGGGGAGGGGAGATACTGGGCAGGTAGAAAAGCCAACATGAAAGTGAGAAAAACTGAATTTTGACTTTGCTTCCAGTACAGAAATAGTAGCAAGACTACGATTTGGGATATATTTAAGAGTTGCTTATTTCAAGTACGTCCTCATGCTATGCTGGGAAGACAGCACGGTTCCCCTCTCGTTTTCCCAAAGGCAAAACCCCGTGATGGTGAACTGAGCTAACGAACACACGCTGCATTCTCTGACGACACCCATGTCATTGGTTTTCTTGCATCTAAACCAAGAGTCAGGGACGTTTGTTTGATTACAGTTTCCCATAGCAAGGGTCAATATTGTGAACGTTTGTCTGTCCTTATAGTAACAATGAGCTTATATTGCAAGGTGTGAAATCAATCCTTGCAGCTATTCAGGAGAACATCAAATAAAAAAAGTAGCATCTTGCAAGAAGACAAAATTACGTTAATTAAACAGCAAGATACTGTGTAAAGTAAGTATTTATTTTATGGCAAGGATGTTGAATGTTCTTCTCCTTTTTTCTTGACAAATGCAGGTGTTTGAGGCTCTTTTCCTAAATAATTTGCATTCAGCAAGGTGGTCAGAAGATTTAACCATTGTGGGTTAATATCCTTTAATAACATGGTAAACTTTGCCACTTGCCAGTAAACTGGTTGCAGAACGTTGTTAGCAGTCCGGGCTGGGAAAGACCATGAGTTAATTAAGGTTTTATTCATACCTGTACAAATATGAGCAAAGACACGTCATGTTTGAATGCAATATGAAAAATCCTGAAGAGCTGATGAACGCGTTCAGAACTGCATGGCCAAGAAGGTGCAATGGGAAACCCATGTACCTGGATTGATGTGCAGAAATTCCATGTATATGTAGCTGTGCAGTTGACTTTGGTCATTATATCTGTGCTGCATGTCCTCCAAATTCCTGCCATAGTACAGGCTGGATTTTCTGACTTTGCATCTATTTTACTTCTTGGGAAAGCCCTAGGAGAACCTGTGGAGATCTCCTAGTGTGTGAGTACAGAGATGGGCTTGCTGGAAGGGCTGGGTTCCATATGCGTTGCATTTAAACATAGCTTAAAACCCTGATGGGTGGACTGAGGCTCTGCCCACGCTAGTACTGCCAGCTTTCACTGTGGCCTGGGCACCTGGAGGAGTGGGGAGCGTTGGGGTCCAGGACTCTAGCAACACTGGTTTCTCAGCTGGGCATCATGTCTGTCAGATCAGGACCACTGTCTGGGTTTTTTTTTTCCATTTTTTGCCATTGAGTATTTGCTGGAGTGAACTTGCTGATGAAATTTCTGCCCCTCCTGCAGTAGAGGTGACGACATTGATTTAAACATCACCTTTTTGTCAATGAATCAATGGGGCTCAGCGTGCTTCCTACTGCAAGGTGTGGTTTTCAGTCATTTGATGAATTCTGTGGATTTTGTCTTATTTCCTTCCAACCTACTCCTGGACTTGTGGGCGTTAGTATGGGATGTGGAATCCCATTGTCAGGCACAGTGTTAGTTACTCCCTAACCTGCATTTCCCAGTGTGCATGTGTAGAGGTGGTTAGTTTATGTTCAGGTGTTGGCCAAGGAGTTGAAGTCAAGAAAAAAAAAAAGAGTTGTTGCTCTCATAGGGCACGTGTCTGACCAGGTTGTATCGCTCGTCCCCTGTAGTAATCAATATTTGACCATCCTGGAGTACATGTTGTCTGCTTTCAGCCAACCCCCTGGGAGACTTCTTCAGCAGTTCTGGTTTCCAGGCTTAACAAATTCTGCAGTGAGGATGGAGTCACGCACAGAAGTCCTCAAAAATGCTGCAATGATCTAGTTTTCCACAAAAGTACGAATCTCTTTCCTTGCCGTTGCACAGGCCTTGGTGTTTTTTGGCCTCTTGAGATTTGGGAGGGAAAATCTGCAGCCTCCAGGCTCAGTTTCCTGTTACCTCTCTTGTCTACCTGTCATGAAGGCTGGCTGAAGCTTGGCTCTTGCACTCCATGACGTACAAATACCCGGTGGCTCGTTAATCACCACCGGCGTCCCCGTTACAGGGTTCCCCGTGCGTTTGTTTGCATATTGGGTTGGTTTATAAACCGTAGGCTGGAATCGGTGGCAATAAACCAGATGAAAACAAACGCTCAGGGAGCATGGATTATTGTATTTGTGGATATAAATTAACGCTCCCGCCCCCCCCAGCACAAATTGGCATTCGTACTTATGCAGCTTTATACCCAAGTGTGGCAGCATGAGGAATAAAACCTCTCTCTCCTTCTAATCTTGATCAATGAATATTTTAACGGAAAGCTTTTCTGGTGGGATTGCAGTTCTGAAGTGGGATTAATAAGCAAGAGCCACTTTTTCTCCCACCTGTGCTGCAGGGAGCACTCCCTTTTCTCTTTACCCTGATACCTCTCATTCTGGTGGCTGCTGCTAACCGAGATGGATGCTCTTCCACTGGTCCAGTCTGACCGATGTGGTAAAGCCATGGTCCACCCATGGGTCTCTCCTATCCTGAAGTCATCATGTCTTAGCAATGTAGGCTGTGGATGGACCATGACTTTGACGGGAGACAGACCCTTTTATTCTTTCTATGTCTATGTAATCCAAGATTTTTAAATACAGCAGGAGGAAAATGGGGAAAATCTTCCAGATGCTGCTAACCCTGCCCACATAGTGATTCTTTCTCCACACTGCTCTTGAGGAAAAACCCTTTGGTGCCAGGTCAAGGAGAAGTTTGAATTAAAAGCAGCCCCTTATAAATGCAGTGGACTCAGCTTTTTTTCCTTTTCCTTTTTTTTTTTTGGTTTTTTTTTTTCCCCTCCCTCTTGCTGACTTCCAGCTGCTGAAGGGAAAAGCTTCAGGTTGGTTTCCAGCTAATTTTCTGCTTCAATAACTGAATGTAAAGCTTAGTAGGCTCTTTGTTCCCCATTTCAGTTCTCGGGATCTTTCTTTCATGCCTGTTTGATCTTGGTGGAAATGTAGAGCCAACAAAAGACCAGGTGATGATGTTAGAGATAATAACCTGGCAGCTCAAAGCAGCTCAGGCTTAGTCTTTGAAATTAACTTCTGTGATGAACTTCCAAATGATTTCCGTGGAGTACATGGCTTTTTCTTCTGCTGGGTAAGTCCCACCTGCAGCCGCAGTGCAAAGTGAAGGGCTGATGGTGGCTTCATGTGGCTTCGTGTGGAGGATGCTTTTGCAGCTGGAAGAGGCCATCTCATAGAAAGGGTCTGTATCACTGATTACCACTCTCCAATGCATCTCCTCTTCCTCTTCTTCTACATCTTCCCACTCGGTTGTGTATGTAGTCTGTGATGTGCGTTAGTTTTCCGTTTAATTAAAAAAAAACCCACGCCTATCTGTGTTTGAAAACGAAATGCCCCTTCTTTGTTAAGACATGATAATTATCCAAAGATGCTAAAATTAATATCTCTGGGGTTTGGTGTACCTTCACCTCCTTTAAACAGCTTTGGAGGGGGAAGGGAGGTGTTTGGGCAGGAATTTCCCCTTCATTAAGGGCAGTTTGCCAACCGCAGGTCGCCAGCTGCTCCCCCAGACCCTACCTCTAAGATAAGGATGAAGGAGAAAAGAGGCTGTGAGTCATGTCCTTTCAACTCCTTTCAGCCTTATTTGAGAGAAGGATTTACCAGGATTACTCAGCATTTTAGGAAATTATTTTGGCACAAACTAATTAATGTAATTAGCTGGAAAGGACTCCTGTTGACTTCTAGTGTATCAGTCAATATGAACTTCTGGGAGAAGTTCTCAATGATTTCTGATTCAGTGCCGTGTTGATGAACTTGGATCAAATGCTTATTTCCCAGGGCAGTTTTATATGGTATTTCAGTATAATGGCACCCCCTTGAGATGCTTTCCTCGTTTACCACAACGCCTATGATTAAAAAAAGGAAGGAAAGCTATTTTTCAAAGGAGGTTATCCAGGAAGATGAATCTCTTAAAAATGCTGCTCATCGTGTGAGATTTCCCAGGTTACTGACACATAATAAAGAGCGAGGATCCTTCCTGGTTTTGTTGGTTTTGGGTTTTTGTTTGTGTTTTTTTTTTTTCCCTTGGTTTTCAGTGTCTGAGTACATGTTCTGTTAAGATTCTGAACCAAAACAAAAAAAAGACCTAACTAACAAATTGACCCAAATTCGACCAATAAGTCTCCTTCTATCTATCAGCCTACAGACAGTTCTGGAAACCTGCTATGTATGAGGTAAAAACAAGGTTTTAATTAAAATTCATACATACAGCTTTAACAGATAAGTTTTCCAAATGTTAATGCCTGAAATGTTTGCTAGTTTTGAGGAATGCCATGCTCATACACCGGGACGAAAGGGATGTACAAGCTGTCTGCAGCGATGAGGCACCTCTTGAGTCCTTTTCTGGTAGTGCTGCATCACCACAGTTTTCACTGCTTTCTGTGTGTGAAAATTTGCTATAGAAAGTTTGTGCTTTTGCACTTAAATTTGCAGAGTTTTCCTTGCCAGGGAATGGTATCTGCTACTCTTCTTTTCAAAATAGAAGATGCATATTAGTTCTTTTCTTCTCTGAAAGTTTAATTATGTACTAAGTGATTTTTGTTATTGTTTTTTAATTTTTTAAATTATTATTTCCAAAAAGAACAACTGTTTTCCTAACTCACATCAAAGCTAAGTAAAATCTCACTGTAGCAAGTGTTCCTGATCAGGTTGACCAGCTTTCATCATTCATTTATAATGTGTTCAACACCTCATTAAAGAAGATAAATGAGTTTTCTACCTTTTGTCACTTAAAAAAAAAAATTCCAACTGTTAAAAGGAAACTTTAGTATTGAAGTGAAATGAGACTTTTCTGGGCATTTTTCTGCCTGGGTGAATATGGAGAAGATTGGAGCTCATATGGATGTGAGGAAACAAACATCCAAGGCGTTGCTTTGAGGAAAGGCTAATGTCTTTGGCTTAATGATTGAGAAGACCCTCGACTGGAGTAGAAGGAAGAGAATTTATTTTAGACCTGTGGAAATTACTGCAGAAGGAAGGAAATGGAGAAACTTGTCCTAAAAATGTCTTGTAGTGAGATGTGCCAGAGCACAGAATGTCTGGAAGAGGAGTGAGCTGTTCCAGGCTGTCAGCGTGCAGCAATCAGTGGGGTTGGGTTATGTTTGCACTGTGGTTTGGAAGTGCATGTGGGCTCAAAAATAGTAGGTTTTTTTTTGAGGAGGAAGCAAAGAAACCTGTTGGGAAGTGGTAAGAATCACTCTCTGCTTTTCATTTTACCCACTCTGTGTTTAGACACTTCTTCCTTACCCCTGGTGCTGACTTCTGCTCTCTCGTTTATCCCTCTTGGTCCTTGTTTCTTCTCCCTGCTTTTTAAGCATAAGGTTTTAAAGAGGATTTCAGCTAGCTGGGGTGGTGTGAGCTTGCCAGCTTTTCCTTGCAATCAAATGGGAAACAGTTTAGCCATACAGAAACAAAAACTCAGGCTCTGACCTCCAGGAGTTGGGCTTTTGGGTAAAAACAGTAACATTTCAGGAACGGTGATAACCTGCCAGGAGGTTCGACTGGGTGATCTCCAATGGTCCCTTCTGATCCAAACGATTTTGGGTTCCTGTGTCAGCTGCGGTGGGTTGGGGAGGAAGGGGCTGCACGAGGACATGTTTCACGGTTGGAAAGAGAGGAGAAGCTCTACTAGCTTTGGTTTTGGTTGTCGTACGAGGCACAACCAAGACATGGTTCTCCTTCACCGTGTGGTGGACAAGGAAATACAATGTAATGAAAGTGTGTTTTAAAAAATGCCACAAAATTAAACTAATAAGGTTCCTGCACCTTTTCCCCTTCTATTGCAATTGACCTTTTGTCTTTCTCTGTCCTCTTGTTTCCTTTTTCTGTCCTTTGTTTCTAGCAAGACTGAGGACTGGGGGTATCTCAATGAAGATGGAGAGCTCGGCTTGGCTTATCAAGGTTTAAAGCAAGTTGCCAGGTCAAACGCTTTCTTTTTTCCCCACCGTTTCCTCTCCCCCTTTCGCTTGCCCTTTTGTTTCTTTCTCTTCCTCTGCTATTCTCCTGTTGTCCTCTGTAGGACCTGTTGCCCTCTCTGGGAGAAGCTGGAGGTCAGATATCTGAACCAGAGGGATCGAGACTCTCCTCTAATTTTCAGAGGAGTCATTGCAATTCTAATGGGGCATTGCTGATGGTGGCTGTTGTCACTAATGCCTGAGCTGTGATTCACTAAGAACTATGTTACGTTAATAGGAAATTGTGTGATAAAGGTTTTGGGAAGCTGTAATCTCCAGGAAGCCCCCCAAAAAACCCCAAAACGCCTTAGATGTTTTTTTCCCAAATTGCACTGAGATGTAGCACCTCCTTGAAGCGTTTTCTCCCAATCTTTGACATGTCAGGAGCGGAGTCCCTGTGCTTGTATTGTGATGCTGCCTGCTTTGCATGGTCCTGGGGATTGTGTGCTCCCATCTGTGCATTGCCTATAGGTGTAAGGATGATAGCGCGTGACGGACACACAGTGCCATCTTCCACAGCTGTCCCCATGTGCTGGTCTGATGGGCGAATATCCCAGTGGGACACACCAGGGCAGTATCTGCAACCTCTGTATCTTCTGGGGATGCCAGCGATTCTGTAAGGATCTCTCATCTCCCAGCTGATGAACATTAATTAGTTGTTAATCAGTGTGTGCTCTCCTGCAGGGCAGTTATGAGGCTCCAATAGGTATGATTTTTATAAAAGGTATGAAACGAGCTGATTAAGGACAGTGTAGAGAGGAAAAGTTAAAATAATCTTTTGTATAAAGCAGTCTAAAGTGGTCACATCTAGAACAGTCAGAGTAGAACTAAACAATAAAAGGAAAAATAACAGAGGTGATTCATTTGTTTTTCAAAGCAATGTAGGAACCCAAGTTCATAGCAGGACTGTGTTTTACTGAGCGTGGCTCACAGTTAATCCAAACCCACGTGAAGAAATAAAATGAAAATCAAGTACTTAATACTTATTTCATGATGGGCCTGTATTTTCCAAGCCTATTAAGAATAACTCCTGACAACATGATTATGAGGCTGACTGCATGATTGCCCATGTTTCTGTAGTTGGAAAACATGCTTTTCTGTCTTTTGCTGGGAAGTGGGAGTAGAGATTGAGTTGTCTAGGTCTTCTAAAACCAGCAACAACAACAAAACAAACTGGAGAGTGATTAATACTTTTCATCCAAAAATCTTCCGTAGAAAGCATGCATTTTTGTATGATCCTTAAAAAAACCCACCCTGAAACAACAACAAAAAAACTCCAAACCTGTGCTTAATTGTTCCTGCAGGGAAACATCTCACAGATGTGAATCTCCATTAATTTTCCAGTGGACTCGAAAGAGTTGTAGCTTTTTCCCCACTGTCACGGCTCCGTGTCTGTGTATGTCCTAGGTAAATGCCAAGCTTGTCATTAGGAAGATGCCAGAGTCTTCCTCACCTTTGATTGCCATTTGCATCGGATGCCAGAGGAGCCGAAGCCCCTGAGCCGGGTGCATTGCTGTCCGTACCTCCACCCAGGAGAGCACATCCATGAGCTACTGCAAGGACACAGGCTTGGTTGTTCCCCTGGGTCATTCCTCCTCTTTGCCACCATCACCCTGTGTGATCTGAGACTAATGTTTTGCAGTTTCTGGCTTGATGCCCCATCCTCATACCTTCTGGAGTCACTGATTTCAGTCGTCTTGAAAAAACTGGTGGACTAAGGGGGAGACTTATATTTAGCAAGGGGATACCCTTAAAAAACCTGATTACCATGTCGCTTGCCAGGTTTGTCAGCATCCCCATCATCACTGGTGTGTACAGGAGGGCAGTTAACGTCTCAGTGATGAATCGTGCTTCGCACTGGATTGCGGAAGGCATTCTGGTTTAGCAAACAGCTGGATAATGCACTGAATAAATTCCTTACCCTTCAGCTCGACATTTCCTCCTGGGCTTGTCCTTGTGCACAGGCTCAGGGCAGGGCTGGAAGGAGACCTGGTATAGGGGAAAGGGGGGTGGGAGAGGGTGACAGGATGAATTATTAGAGAAAAAGTTGGGTACCCACCTAAAAGGAGGGGAAGGGCTGGTTTTGGTGACTTCTGCCAACTGTGTATTAAGGTGTTAGTATTTGTATGTCATGGAATACAAGGAAAACACGTCTTTATGCCCCTGCTGAAGAGTCCTGGTGAAGTCAGCAGTGATGACGAAAGCAGGAACTGATCAAGACGACAGAAAATTCCTTTGTGGGTAGTTTATGAATGAAGATGAAGATATAAATGAATATACTTCTCTTTAAGCAAACAGCAGCTCTACAAACAACTAGAAGGAATGAAGGTTTCAGCTTCTGCCTTTCTTGAAACTCCCAGCAGTGGTAAAGCCAAGCCTCTAGCAGTCCAACTGAACGGAGCTATTTGCAAGACATACAGTTCCGTTTTCAAGAGTAAGAAATGATGTTTGAAAGGGGATGAGCATAACAACAAGTGCCCTTCAAGATGATGTTTTGAAAAACCCTCAGGCATTGATCTGCATTGCTTTCTTGCCACGCATTTGCTTTTTGCTAATGGGAAGAGTAAAGGAACCCAGATTCGTGATACGGTTGCAGAAAAATGGGAGCTCTTGGATATCCCCCCCCACCCCGTCCCTTTTATTTGGAAAAAAAATCTAACTTTTGATCTCATGTCTCTAATTTCAAAGTATTTAATCTACAGTATAGCAAATGACAGACTAGTGTGACAATAAGAGCTGTACCACCCCTTTGTGTGTGTCGGTTTTATAGCGACGTTGACCGGGTCGGCTGACTTTGAAGGATCTGAACTTAAAGAGTGGTTACTGCCATGGTGCCAAGATCACGGGCTGATCGGTGTGGTCCTTTTCTCAGGTTGCTGGAATCACAGCTCCAGGATCAGAAAAGAAAGTACGATGAGGAGGTAGAAGCTCTGAAAAAACAGGTGGATGTAACGAAGGAGCAGCTGGAGAAGCAGCAGCAGACATACCTGCAGATCGCGCAGCTGTCTCCGGAGGCCCAGGTGGAGTTTGGAATTCAGCAAGAAATTACACGTCTCACCAATGAAAATCTGGTAAGAGGCTGTACTTAACACAGAGTTAGGAAGAGGGAACACAGATTAAGGAAGAGGGGAAAAAAAACAGGTTGAGAGAAAGAGGAGATAGGAAACGTGAAGGGGAGGAGAAAGCACTGGGGTCTGTGCTCTGATCCTTCAGCATCTCCCACTGGTCCATTTGGGAGCGTTGGTACTTGGCCTTGAACTGTTGTTCAGTGACTATATGACTCTTGTGACTCCGTAGGTACTTTTATTTTTTATCTTTTTTACACCTGCTTACTTTGTGGCGCTACCTACCGAATGAGATTGCTGAGGACCCCTGTACTCTGTAATCATGCAGGAAGACAACACGATCCCTTCTTCTTACTTGCATTTATTAGGAGCATGGGAGGCAGTTGCCATTCTGAAAAGCTGACCTGGCTAATCATAAATTTTTCCCCTTTCACCTCCTGTATCTGTGTGCAAGGTCTGGAGTGAACATTGGCCCCTCCTAAGTTCAGGTGAAGGCTGCTTGCCTTTCTCAACAGCTCTAAACAGTGTTGGAACTGTTTAAATATGATTAGGAGCCAGGAATAAAAATGTTTTGGGTGGTGTGTTCTGAGTATCGCCTGCTATAGGCTACTTCTAGAAGAAGCAGGCGCACAACATCCACAGTCTTTGCAGTGTAGACAAGGGTCTCTCCGAGCGAACCTGAAATAACACAGCTCTTGTACCGAGGTGCTCCCACCACGCAGTAGTGGTGCATAGACCAGACCGTGTGCTCCTGACTGCTGAGTGACTCCAGCCTCAAACTCACCCCAAATGAGTTGGTTTTGGGTTTAATTTTTTTTTTTTTTTTTTTTTTGACCCAGTGCCTTTTCTGTTTTTCAGGATCTTAAAGAATTGGTAGAGAATTTGGAAAAGAATGAAAAGAAGCTGAAGAAGCAGCTGAAGATTTCCATGAAGAAGGTTCAAGATCACAAAGGTGACTTAGGCGTTGGTAGACATTGGGGTGGGGGAACAGCACTCTGGTTTACCTCCTTTGGCCAGCCTTGGAGAGCTGCAGGTTTTTCTCTTTTTCTTTCTATTAAAGTAAGACCGTGTGCATTCTGGCACTCTGAAGTAGTGCTGAGCTCATTGTTGGCAGGACAGCAGGGAATGGAAAGTCCAAATGAAGCTCCTGGGTCATGCTTAGGCTGCCTTTGAGCAAGTACAGCTGCGCTGCTGTAGCTTTTTAGCTTGTTAACATGGTTGCATGCAGTAAATTTGGAAGAGGGATGGCAGGGATGGAAGAGGGTGATGATTTGGTAGGGATGGAAGGTGAGCAATTGCTGGAGGTGTTGCTCTGATGCTTGGTTCACTGGTGTTTAAGAAACCTTTTTGTTTTCGTCGCCATCAGTGCTGTGACCCAAGCAGAGGTGCAGAGAGGATACCAGTGGCTGGCTGGAAACTGCTCTGATCTGACAATTTGGGGCAGTATTAAAACAGTTTAGGGTTAAAATATATATGTATATTCTTCTTGATCAGAAAACACCTCAAACACAATTTCCGTGTTGTACAGAAGGAGCTTCCCATTCTCTGGAGATGCCGTGATTAGTCACGTAACATTGTTCTAGTCAGCTAATTTCTGAAAACTAGGCATTAAGTGAAATTAAGCTGAATAACCAGAGGGTTTCCATGGCTAGCACAGCTGGTCTCTGTCAGTGTGATCTGCATGCAGCAGCCTGCTGTTTACTTCAAGACTTGCACGTGGTTTCTCCTGTTTTATTAAACTTTTACGGAAGCACAGCACTCGATGGTGTGCCACCACTGTTCTTCAGCTTTACAGCCAGCCAGCAGATGTGGTGCTTAGGTATTTTTTCATTGCCTGGCTACTTATTTTTCCCCTCTGTGAAAATGATACACTAAAAAGCTTCCCAGAAGGTTACTACCTTCTAACCTGTGGTTCCTCAGAAAATAAAAAATTACTTCA